GGAATTTTCCAATTACCTTATTACCGGAAGATTCTAGAACATCCAGCAATTCATTTCTGATATAAGGTTATCTCCGTACACAAATGATACAAATAATTATCATTAGGGGAAAGGCAAAGAACTATCAAATACGCAAAAAGAATTGATCATCAAATATTGGAAGGAAGCCAAAAGCTATAGGAAAATAATATATATCCTTAATATACCATTTACTGTTGTTAGGTTTATTATTGTTAAGTATAAAAAGGTAAAATCTGTTTAGAACAAATCGAGATCTGGTGCACCACGCAAAATTTCTCCCAGATTAATGTGAAGAATTCAGCGCAAATTACAAGAAAATCCAATGCCTACTCGGAGAGAAATACAGGAAGACTTAAAAGCATCAGGTATTAATGTAACGAAGCGAACAATAAGCAATGGACTTCACAGAAATCAACTAAGATCGTGTTCTCCAAGAAAAACTCTTCTACTATTGAAGAAACATAGGGATTCCCGGTTCAGATTTATTTGTGAACATAAGAATAAATCTGAATCATTTTGGGAAAGTTTTTTATGGACAGATGAAGCAAAAATTGAACTATTTAGGCATAATTCAAGGACACACGTTTGGAAAAAAGAAAGCACAGCTTTTGCACCGGAGAACATAATCCCAACGGTGAAATTTGGTAGTGGAAATATTATGGTTTGGGGATGTTTTCCTGTTAATGGTACGGGTAATTTAGTGATAATAGATGGTAGAATGAATGGAAAAATATACCAAGATTTTTTTCGACTCTAATTTGTTTGGGTAAGTAGTAAAGCTTGGACTCCCAAATGAATAGGTTTTGCCACAAGATAATGACCTTAAACACACGGCTAAATCAACGATAAAATAGCTTATTGTAAACAATGTCAATACACTGGAATGGCCATCATAGTCTTCAGACTTGGATTCAATAGAAAATTTTCAGCGTTTAATAAAAATTCAAGTTAATAAAAGAGCTCGGAAAAGCATCCTGGACTTAAAGAGAATATGCAAAGAAGGGATTAAAATACCAATGGAAACTTGCCAATCATTGATTAAAAGTTACAGAAAGAGATTGATTGCTGCTGAATTGAGTAAGGGATATGCTTCAAAAGTATTAAATAGGTATTATAATTTTGTACGAATACTTCTTTCGCCTCCAAATTTTTTAATTTCATATGATTTCATTAAAATAACAATTTTTTCTGAATTTTGTTTTGCATATTGGAGCATTATGCCATTGGATAAAAATATTGTATGGATTATAAAATTCTTTTATAAAATCCAAATATGTTAAATAAAAAACATCATGATGCACGAATATTACTTTCATCATCTGTGTATAAATTGTCCAATGTTTTCTGAATTCTTCAGGTTTTCATAAGGTATCATAAGATATGATGCGGGAAGACATGATAGTAACAAAAGAGGATATAACACACAAACACACACGCATAGATTATATATATATATATATATATATATATATATATATATATATATATATATATATATATATATATATATATAATTATTTATTTAAAATATGATTCCAACACGCTACAGAAGAGTTCTAATGTTTCAAAATGAGAGCCGAAAACTTCATTATAATTATTTGAATTAAATTGAATTAAAGTACGAAGCTCTGTTCCATCTTCAAGTGAATTTTTTTTGGAATAACTTATTTTTGAGGTTTACGCGTTTTATAAGCATATTCATTATTGAAATCAAAATTTCTATGGTAACGGCTAGACCAATTGTTTAAAGAAAAGGGGCGTAAGGTGTTAATAATTTGTATCAGTATAAAGTTATATTCACAGATGTCAAGTCAGGGTAAGTTTTGGGGGTGTCTAAATTTAAAGCGGAAGATGACATCGTCTAGTCTGGTTAAGTGTCTATGGAGATTTTTTTATTTTTTTTTTATTTTTTATTTTTTTCTGAAAGGGTTTTGTGTATATAAAAACCGTCGTAAATCGCTAACATTTTTTATTGGCGACTTTATAAAGGGTTATCTTATGCTGCCTCCATCTGGTTTTAAATTCATGGAGGCAGCATAAATGTTCCTTCAACAATATAAATAATAGAAATCAGACATCTCTAATTTTGGGCATTTGAAAGAAATGAATAAAACACCAAAAGTAAAATGGAAAATTATAAACAAAACTAGAACTTGTAAAACTTGGGATGACCCATGCCCTTTATGCGTACATGAAAAACTACACATTATTAAATTTCTAAATAATAAAAATCTATTAAACAATAGACAGGAGTTAACGATTTTTTGCCGACATCATCAAATTTTTGCATTGAATAATTAGCATAAACAAAAAATAAAATAATTTTTAAATTCCATAGTCCTAATAAATAGTTTAAATGTCCTACAAAAAAAGATAACCCTTTATGAAGTCGTCAAAAAACAAATGTTGCGATTTACGACAGTTTATATATATATGTGTTGTATATATATATATATATATATATATATTATATATATATATATATATATATATATATATATATATATATATATATAATTCCTAAGAGGATAGAATCCAAGTAGAACTCAATGTCAAGCACAGAGTAAGAATATAATATAAAACAAACAAACACTAATATTCTAGAGTTATACTTTTATTACATTGGAATCGTAATCACAATCCAAATAATCAGACCTACAAATTCAAAAAGCATTTTGAATTTTTAGGTATGATGATTTGATTTGATTACGATTCCAAGGTAATAAATCATAACCATGGAATATTAGACTTTGAGCCTTTTTATATTATATTATATTATATATATATATATATATATATATATATATATATATATATATATATATATATATAATATAAATATATATAATATATATTAAAATATATATTCCTTATCAGTTAATATAATGGCATGCTTTAAAACTCTCGGCCATGAATTGCGTCTATGATGAAGAGATATTGAATAGTGCATTTAAACGAAAATTTTACCAAATTCTCAAAACATCCTAGTTTCTTATCCTAATGTAAACAAAGTAATTTGTAAAGAAATAATGTATCTCTTTCTTTATTACAGATTTTATTCCTTAAACGATATTTTGAGTGGATACACTTATTTGGTTAGACGCCCTGTTTTTTTATTAAACAGCATATTTATTTTAGTCTACGGGCCTGAATAAGAAAATAAATTATTTGCCCACTGTGGCAAGGTCCAAACCAGCATCCCTTTGGGCAGGGGAAACCCTTGTTATACCCGAAGTGCTTTAGAGTCGTCAGGATACGAAAGTTAGCAGATATGTACATTTCGAGAGCCAGGGAATGATTTAAAGACACTATTCAACTTTGCTTGATCATCGATGCAATTCCAGTATATATTTATATACACAAACAAATGAAGAGAAAGAATCGTCAGATTAAAATTCAACAATTCTTTGTCATTTATTTTTTTATAAATTACTCGATACAAATTAGAGCTTAATATTAAAATTATTATTTAAAATATTTTAAAAATTTGATAATTATTTATTATTATAATCATTTTGTTTTAATTTTTTATCATTATAATAATTTTAAAAATTATAATATTTCTAAAATAGTTTAAATACTACTACTACTCCTACTACTAATAATATATATATATATATAAATATATAATATAAATATATATATATATATATATATATATATATATATATATATATATATATAAATAGTTGGCATTTAAATCGGACTGAAATGCGTCACAATACTTTTATCAGTCATACTGTTTTTCAAAATACTGTTTGTTGATATATAAAATGAAGCAAAATTATATATCGTTATATCATATATATATATACATATATATATATATATATATATATATATATATATATATATATATATCAGTAAGCATTGATGTCAATATTCACAGGCATGCTTGGCGAGGGCGCGATTACGTTTAGCATGAAAACAGTTTGTCACCTCTGGGTGTTGACTTCAATGTCCATATTTATTCTTACATATGCTCTATATCGCTGATATTGAGCGCATTAACCCATAAATATATCATACTTTAAAACTATATTTATATATATATATATATATATATATATATATATATATATATATATATATGCGTGTATATATATATATATATATATATATATATATATATATATATATATATATATATATTATAAATTGATTTATTTAAATATGTTTTTTTCGTTACTCAGTTCTAACCATGTTTCAAAAATGGAAGCTAAAAGCTACGCATTTAATTTTGTAATTAAATTAAAGACATTAGTTCCATTTCATCCTCAAGCGAATTTTAGAGTAACTTTTAAAATTACTGGGTTTTAAAGACACAGTTAAAATCTGTATTATTTTTTTTGTATTATTATACAGACATAATGAACACCCAGACACCCCTTGTCCAGTGGAAGTAGATTTATCTGTAACCTTGGAAACGTGAATTATGATTTTAACATATTTTAAACAAATCAATTTATAATATTAATGCTCTGTAAATTTACATCGAGCACTATGTTGTAAAAATAAAAATATCTCTAAGAACACCGGATTATGTATCTTACTGTTCTTTTCTTTCTTTCTTTCTATATATATATATATATATATATATATATATATATATATATATATATATATATAAGAAGAGTGACGTAATTGATCAATAATAGTGTATAGAAACGTTTAATCCAATACATATTCAAATATATCTTCGCTTGTTTCCGGAGGGAGAAAAGCATAATTTTCATTCGTGTCAATGGATTGTGACATACGTCTTTTCCGAATAGAAACAATTTAAGCGCAAATTCTGAATTGGATATTTCAATTTCATTTTCCGATCACTAACGCGAAATAAATGTTTTTTTTTTCTTTTGAACGGAATCTTTTGTTTTATAAAAAACAATTTCAAAAAGAATTTTTCAATTTTTTTGTTTTGAACATTTACTTTGTTCCAGTGATACGAACTTTCACAATTGCTTTTAATATCTCAGTCTGGTCTGATAGAATCGAATCGTATGCTTTCCTTTCCTTCTTTTTACGTGCCATGTCCTTTCAGGACGTAGGCGATCATGGCTCTCCACTTCCCTCTATCCCTTAGCTGCTCTCAACAAGTTCCATCCTTCTGCCACCTCCCCCAGACAACGTTTTGCCAACCACTTGATTAATCCCGCTAGGTATGTCATGCATTATTCTCCCTTGACTCTCTTTCCCTCTATTAGATCTGTGAGTATCAGATTCTTCAAGCCCTCCTTCCTCATTATGTGTCCCAGGAACATCAGCTGCCTCTTCCTGATATTAAGTATAAGCCTCCTCCTTGTTTGCATCCTCTCTAAGACCTCATCGTCGCTCACACGCTCAGTCCATGATATCCTTAGCATCCTTCTGTAGAATCACATGTCCGTCTCCTCGAGTCTCTTCTTCATCTTTGAGGAAATCTTCAAACATTCGCTGTCTCTTCCTGATGTTAAGTATAAGCCTCCCCCTTGTTTGCATCCTCTCTAAGATCTCATCGTCGTTCACACGCTCAGTCTATGATATCCTTAGCAATCCTTCTGTAGAACCACATCTCCGTCGCCTCGAGTCGCTTCATCTTTGAAACTGTCCACCATTCGCTGCCATAAAGAAGAACAGATGTCACGTAACAGCTCAGTATTCTTTTCTTTGTTACCAAAGAAATCCTCCTGTCTCGCAATGTGTCCTTGGCCATCCCAATACGTCTACGGATCTCAGCGTGCTTTTTAATGCTTCAGTCCGGTCTGATAGAATAGAATGTGTGGTTTACATGGCCGTTTTGCTCACTGAAAATAGAATCAAATTCAGAAATAGTCTGTGAAGTCAATTTTGCTTTTCAGTGGCTAGAAAATGGCGCGTGTCAAAATCCTCACAGTATATAGTATTGTTGAATTTATCGTTAACATTTTTTGTCAAGATTTCTAAACTCAATTTACGATTTCGCAAACCAATCTATGAAATTTAAATAAGCTGATTTACTTGGAACAATACTTCGACAAAAAAACATATTTCGCTGTTTAATACTTAATTTAATTTTATAGGACGCCCTGGTAAACGCTATTTTTTATGAATTTTATTTTTTTTTCATTTTTAACTTACTCTTGAGCATGTAACATAAAACTGGCCATGTGTAAATATTTCTTTCTGTAGTCAAATTCCAACTTTCTGAAGTGTTTGGCCTTTTGATTTGTTTATAGATCTCCCAAACGCTGGACGAATAGAAAGCTGGATTCTTGTATATATAAAATCTTAAAGAAATAATACATATATATATATATATACATGTATATATGTAACATAGAAAGTGATCTTCTGATTACTCTTTTCTCTTTCTACTCATTACTATTGTTCTGTCCCTAATTCCTCCACACCCTGTAATCTTTTGCGTGTTAGTGGCTGTACTGTCTCTCATGCAGTCTTACCGCTTAAACAAAATGAAATCAAATTTGAATTTTCATTAAATAATTATTTGTTACATTATTTGGGCTGTGCCGTCATCTTTGTCAAAATATTTATCACAACGCCTTCGGCCGTTGTACCTCCAGTTTTTCTTCAGGTGGTTTGGAATGTCGAGAACTAAACCTTTATTTCGCTCACTGGGCAGACTGTTCTAGTTTCAGATGCCTGTCGATGGATGTCAGTTATCTCCCTCTGTTTTCCTCTTTAATGTTCTGAATCACTTTTTTTTTGTCATTGAACTCAACGCCTTATCCACTGCGCCATGTCCTTCAGGACATTGGATAAAGGCGTTGGTTAGATCCAGTGACAGGACCCATGTGTTCCTTCAGGTTAAGGCAGTGGAGAAAGGAGGTTTAATTGATAACTGGATAACTGACATCCATTAAACATGGCACGTGGAACAGGAACGGTCTGCTCAGTGAGCGAAATAAAGGGTTAAGTTCGAATTCAACCACCCTGAAGAAGGAGCGTACAACGGCCGAAACGTTGTGATAAATATGGCGACAAAGATGAGGACAATAGTCCGAATAATGTAAATAGTGTACATAATACCTCATCTCAGAAATATAGACAGATACTGAAAGGCCGAAACGTTGTAATAAATATGGCGACAAAGATGAGGACAATAGTCCGAATAATTTAAATAGTGTACATAATACCTCATCTCAGAAATATAGACAGATACTGAAAGGCCGAAACGTTGTAATAAATATGGCGACAAAGATGAGAACAATAGTTCCGAATAATGTAAATAGTGTACATAATACTTCATCTCAGAAATATAGACAGATACTGAAAGGCCGAAACGTTGTAATAAATATGGCGACAAAGATGAAGACAATAGTCCGAATAATGTAAATAATGTACATAATTCCTCATCTCAGAAATATAGACAGACTCTGAAGGATCGGTACGGACCTGAATTTTAATCATTAAATTATTTTTAAATTCCTAGGAGTATTTTGTATATTAAATAATAAAACTTTAACTTTTTCCAAAAAAATTAATAAAAATTTATTTTACCAAGCTACGAACCCGAACATAACCAACTGTACTTTATGACCCCTTTACCTGTTTGCACTTCTCTCCAAAAAGCTGGTTTCGATCATCAATGTATGGCGGTTTTAGAGGTTGTGACGGAACGACGGTCTGACAGATGTCAGAGAATTTATATATATATTATCCCAGAGAAAGATATGAATCCGTCTGTTACCTCTTCAGCTATGGGTTAATTACGAGGGTAAACTATTTGTTCTCGGCTTGGTTGGCAACCAGTTTAAGAGAAGAAAAAATCTTAAATCTAAACCGTGTAGATGTCAATGGGAAAGCACTATATATTTTCCAAGAAGTAGCAGTATAATAAAGAAAAGAAAGCTGTGGAGGTCCATGAGAACATTGGTACTGAATGAACATGGTATTTAAAAAGAAAATATATAATGCTGGAAACAACATGAATTTACTAAAAATGTGTTTTTTATCTATCGGTCAATAATGATAATAATAATATTGGTAAATATAATTAAATAATAGTAATGGTAATCAGTCAGACAAGGTCAAAACGGCAGCTGATGTACAAAACAATCTCAAGACAGTCGTTGACTGGGGCAAACAAATGGTTTACCAAATTGAAGACAAGACAATTTTTCTCTTGGGAATATATCTTGTATATATATATATATATTTATTAAAGACATTTTTATGTTTAACGTTGTTTTTTATAGATACTGTATTTAAGAAAAATATTCGTTTTTGACAGGAAACCTGCATCCTAACGGAACATTTCAAAGAACGAATATTTTCTAATGAAAATTTTCATTCAGGCCGGAAAATATTTTCGTTTCTTTAAACAGAGATTTGCTTAAAACCTGTATCTATAAAATAAACAACGTTAAACCGTCATATATATATATATATATATATATATATATATATATTGATGCGAAAGTAAATGGTTAAGTAATAACCAAAACCAGGTCAGATATATTGTATATTAAACCGTAAGTACACAGAAAAAGGTTACACGAGTAAGAGTGTATCGTGAAATAACGTTCAATCTATTTACTGTTCCCTGTTCACTGCTCCCCGAACCTTCTCTCCAACTAAACTTATAGTAGGCGAAAGAGTCTAATAGACTTTTAGAGGGAGGACACCACAACATATATCTATATGTCTACAATTCTTCCATACTTTAGAATATTACTGCTATATATGGTCCAGTACCCCTGCTATTTACCTGGAGAACCTTGATAAGATCCTAAAAAGAATCAGCAATATTATTGGTCCTTATCTGGCGGCTCAGCTTCAGCCACTTGCCTACCAACATAAGGTTGCCTCTCTATACCTTTTTTATACATACTTTCATGGTAATTGTTCGGATGAGCTCTTCGCTATGGTACCTAGATTAAGGTACCTGAATTTAAGCGCAATACTAGACTGGTGTCCAGATCTTATCAGTTTACAGTACAGCTGTGAAGATGTGTACTTAGGTTCTATGCTAACAGTTTCTTATCTCGCACTTCTCCCTTGTGGAACTCCCTTCCGACCCCATGCTTTCCAGCCAATTTTAATCTGCAAAAATTTAAATGCAATGTCAATCGCTATCTTCTGCCTTCCTGATTACTCTTTTCTCTTTCTACTCATTACTAACGTTCTGTTCTTAATTTCCCCACACCCTGTAACCCATTGTGTGTTAGTGGCTGTATTGCCTTTCTTGCGGACTTACCGGTTAAAAAAAATGAATCAAAGAAAATGTAGTCCATATGTCTCTATTGCTATAATCACGATGTTTCGGTCATTGCATGCACCGGTCATCTTCAGGATCTGTCTATATTTCTTAGATGAGTTATTTTAAGTAACATCGTTCGGACAGTTGTCCTCATCTTTATCGTCATATTTACGACAGCGGCCGTTGTAATCTTCGGACTTCTTCAGGGTCTCTCTATATTCTGAGATGAGGTATTTTAACTATTTACATCTTTCGGAGTGTTGTGCTCATCTTTATTGCCATAATCACGATGTTTCGGTCATTTTATGCCCCGGTCATCGTCAGGATGTATCTATATTTCTGAGATGAGGTATTGTAACTATTTTTTACTATTGACATCGTTCGGACTGTTGTCCTAATCTTTATTGCCATATTCATGACGTTTCAACCGTTGTACGCTCCGGTCATCTTCAGGTGATATACTTTGGAATTTCGAACTGAACCGAACACTTTAATTAGCCAACGGAGTTAGATTGTTCCAGAAAGGGCATGGTACGTGGAATTAGAACAATCTAAATCGCGGACTAAATAAAGGGTTTAGTTCGAAATTCCAACGTATATCACAAGAAGAAGGCTGGGGCGATCAACGGCTTTAATAAAAAAATATTCTTGTTCCTGGTTCGATTTTTTAGAAGCAATTTAAGGTTTTGAGCAGTTCCTAGACTGTTTTATAATTCCGGAAGAAAACTGATAAAAAAAATCAAAGAGAATCCAATAATAACAGGGAAGGAAATCCAATATAATTTCAGATCTAAAGAATAATGATTACTGAGTTGCACGGGAAGGATTTAAAATTCAGTACTCCAGGTAAAAGATATTCGTTGAAAAAAAAGTGTCACCGGGATCCTCGAGCGTGGTTCACT